GAATTTCGAGAAATATGTCGAATTTAGCCATATTTCGCATATCTTTTTATGGAACCATTTAAAGTTTTGCAAATTAACCCCTTAAATTCTGGAGACGACGATCTAAATTTTGCTGAGTCAGCAATTTTCGTTTTTTCATTGAAAACAGTACTTTTCAGCCTAAATTGCTACATTTCTGCTCTCTTATCAAGTAATTTGATGCAGTTCTTGCCAAATTAAAGGAAACATACCCCAAACGTTCCACAGTGTGCGAAGTTCCAACATTTTGACCCTTTAAACCCACGAAAGACCCAATTTTAAAGGGACGTATTCAGTAAACCTGCACAAAAGACAATGCTACTTGAACTAGCCATCAGAAGTTCATGAAAAACGAAAAATCAATGATGTTCAGTTTAGTAAAGTAGCAAATAGTCCTACTTATGAGAGAATATAAATCACTTAAGCAATTTGTACAACTTTAAACAGCTGTTTTAAGTAGATTAGTATCGTTATGGGCAAAAATCCCCCAAAATAGCCCAAAATTTGTCCAAAAATTCAAATTTTTCATGCTCAAGGCTGAATTATTTTGCCTTTTTTGCTACATTTATCAGTGCAGTGACAAGAAGTCTTGTGGATAGCGCAACTTTTCCTGAACGTTTCTCTAATAAGATATTTTAATGACAAAATAACTACATTTAGTCTGGAATAAATTGTCACAAAATATAATGACCCCAGGGGTCAAGAGAACCCTATAAAATCAAAAGTGCTGAGAGGATTTGAGCAAAAATGTACATATCACTTCATAAAACCCCGAACTTTAAAATTCATATTGAACAAAATGCATATTCAGTCAACCATGACACTAATAGGGTCAATACAACTCACGTGGGATTTGTTTTGCTCATCGTATAGGAAAAGTAGTACTTAATACACTAGTTCGCTACTTTGTAGATGTATGGCACGTATATGTGTACATGTATTGGCAATTAATGTTTGGTGATAGCTAGTAGGAGTGTCAGGGACCGCTGACAGATTATTATTTTGAACCAAAAAATTGAATTATATTTTTGGCGGTCTCAGTAAATCAATGGGGTAATCAGGTCCTACGTGCTTTTTACAGGCCCAGAAATCAATGCTCGCTTATAAATGTAGCAAAATCTTTTTTCGTTCGTGGGATATTTTTTCCACCATATAACCGAACGGGAAGTTTTTGAATAGGACTACATGATCTGAATGGATGAGAGGATTCGATGGGCTGGGATTTGAGAAATTATGATTTGAACTTTGCCAATTTTACATGTATTCCAATGGGTGAAAAAGTAAGTTGCTTTCTACCTAATATGAACCACATTTATTAGTGAATTTCGAGAAATATGTCGAATTTAGCCATATTTCGCATATCTTTTTATGGAACCATTTAAAGTTTTGCAAATTAACCCCTTAAATTCTGGAGACGACGATCTAAATTTTGCTGAGTCAGCAATTTTCGTTTTTTCATTGAAAACAGTACTTTTCAGCCTAAATTGCTACATTTCTGCTCTCTTATCAAGTAATTTGATGCAGTTCTTGCCAAATTAAAGGAAACATACCCCAAACGTTCCACAGTGTGCGAAGTTCCAACATTTTGACCCTTTAAACCCACGAAAGACCCAATTTTAAAGGGACGTATTCAGTAAACCTGCACAAAAGACAATGCTACTTGAACTAGCCATCAGAAGTTCATGAAAAACGAAAAATCAATGATGTTCAGTTTAGTAAAGTAGCAAATAGTCCTACTTATGAGAGAATATAAATCACTTAAGCAATTTGTACAACTTTAAACAGCTGTTTTAAGTAGATTAGTATCGTTATGGGCAAAAATCCCCCAAAATAGCCCAAAATTTGTCCAAAAATTCAAATTTTTCATGCTCAAGGCTGAATTATTTTGCCTTTTTTGCTACATTTATCAGTGCAGTGACAAGAAGTCTTGTGGATAGCGCAACTTTTCCTGAACGTTTCTCTAATAAGATATTTTAATGACAAAATAACTACATTTAGTCTGGAATAAATTGTCACAAAATATAATGACCCCAGGGGTCAAGAGAACCCTATAAAATCAAAAGTGCTGAGAGGATTTGAGCAAAAATGTACATATCACTTCATAAAACCCCGAACTTTAAAATTCATATTGAACAAAATGCATATTCAGTCAACCATGACACTAATAGGGTCAATACAACTCACGTGGGATTTGTTTTGCTCATCGTATAGGAAAAGTAGTACTTAATACACTAGTTCGCTACTTTGTAGATGTATGGCACGTATATGTGTACATGTATTGGCAATTAATGTTTGGTGATAGCTAGTAGGAGTGTCAGGGACCGCTGACAGATTATTATTTTGAACCAAAAAATTGAATTATATTTTTGGCGGTCTCAGTAAATCAATGGGGTAATCAGGTCCTACGTGCTTTTTACAGGCCCAGAAATCAATGCTCGCTTATAAATGTAGCAAAATCTTTTTTCGTTCGTGGGATATTTTTTCCACCATATAACCGAACGGGAAGTTTTTGAATAGGACTACATGATCTGAATGGATGAGAGGATTCGATGGGCTGGGATTTGAGAAATTATGATTTGAACTTTGCCAATTTTACATGTATTCCAATGGGTGAAAAAGTAAGTTGCTTTCTACCTTAGTAAACTGTGTATAAACAAGGCATAAATGACAAATTCAGAACAGGACCGTGGTGTATTTCGTAAATAATAAGGTTTCAAACGCAATGTCGTTAGACGACTACGTATGACTTCTATCGAATTCTATGGACGGTGACGTATTGTATTAGTTGTACATAAGATATTTAGCGGACCGCGGTTACGTGCATGTACATCTGTCAAGTCAAGGTTGCTAGATCTGATAGCCTCTTTCCATGTTATTGTTATAATGGGTAAGAAATGGAATATTGAATTTCCTATATTTGGTTTCAGGACTCGCAAGAGACGCTCTTGTTTCAGCCTCTATAGGACAATGAAAAAAATTGTCACTTGCTTTATTTATGAAACCAATGAAAGTGTAAAAGATAGCAATGGAGAGGCAAAAGAAGATTTAGGATCAAGTACTGATGAAGATAAAAAAAATTAATAACAATGAATCGGGGTTTTATATTTGAATCAGGTTCGCGTAACCGTCCATCAATTTTTTACGTTACCGCAAATTCAAAATACATTATTATGGCTTGAGTATAACATATTAGGTGGTTTCCAATGCTCAATTGGCTTTGTATGATCGTCTGTAGGTTAAATCGATTTACCCCAAGGTTTTAGGCAAGGTAGACCATGCCCTAACAACAAAAATAAACAAAAGTTTTGTGTAGTTTTGAATTTCAAACTCGACAGTTTTTCTCTTATCTCATGTTATCCCCGGGCATCAATTTGCAAAGACTACGTTCAAAATATACATTACTGAATGCATCACCGAATGCGACGCTTACGTAAATCGTCCATCCTTTCATTGATACACAGTAGTAGAAAATAATGCACCAACCTTAGTTTTCTCTTCCATTTTATTGGATAAATCAGTGAACGTAGCCGTCCAACCTCGTTTTCAGAGGTGGCGTAACCGTCATGCTATAACACAGTGATACCTATAGGCTCATGTTTTGGTGAAGCAAGCGTAGTTGGCGTAGTAAACATACTATCATGTGGTTATTTTCAATGAAATACCCGTAGCAGACGTAGCCGTCCGAACTTGCTCGAAGCATAATCCCAATTTCAATCGGATAAGGTCACGACTTTTCATAGAATGGTAATATCTATTCCGTATAAATGTAAACAATACGACTAATACGAACACTACCGCGTAAATATGTAGATCTAGTTTGACTTTAAGGTGCAAATGAAATGTTTCTCAAATAAAAAAAATTAACCTTTCAGTATGTCCATGAGGGCCATGCTTTCAGTAAACAAGATTACATATACAATGCTTAAAGCATGGCTCAATTGATATGTCAAGCTTTTGGTATGCAGCACTAATTCCCTTTGAAGGAAAATAGATACATGTAGTTAGAAAAATTTACAAAGGACCAGTTCACTAAAAATAATAGATATACATGGTGTAACGGTAATAATTTATTTCAGATATCACATTTACTTTTGATCATTTTTAACTCCCTTCAACAAGACGTCGTTCGGCAATTTTCCATTTTCACTAGTGCGCTAAAACACGCATAGTGTTCTTTTGATTTTCAGGTGAGGTCGTCCTCTTTGATGTTGTGTCCGTTAGCACTGGCGGACCAAGGGGGACCCCTCCCCTTGTGGGCCCAGAAAATTTTTTAGGGCCACAAAAAATTGGCCTGTTTGGACATAATTTGGCCTTTTTATGCCAAATTATCAAAAATGGGCCTAACATTTTCAGACTTATGCCCATTTTTTGCTGACTCGAAATTTGCACCCCCTCCAACTTGTTAGTTTCTTGATCCGTCAGTGGTTAGTTGCGCCGAATCTGTGCACTAAGACCGGAAATGTTAATGATTAACTAGGGCTGAACTGAACTTTATCATTATTAATTAGTAAATTGCTCATCATTTCTTTAGATAACGTATGATGTCAAGCTCATGGCAACACTCATTGCAGATATTTGGTAAATACCTTCAGTCTGACCCATCATCCAATATCCCTATAAGTCACCCACACCTGACTCCACCTGTCCCGTACTCCCCATATATAAACCAAATGATTAGATTCAGAAGTTCAGATCACACGAAACAATGACATATTAAATCTTCGTTTAGCGGCGAATACCGATGGTTCAAAATTAGCTCTGTCACATTTTCATTATATTAGATTTTTGTCGTTCGAAGCTTATAAGTTTGTTTCCAATTAAGAAGTATTTTAGGGAAAATACTGATCATGAGTCAACTAGTACTTTTTACAAATAAATAATCCCGCTAAACAAACAATCAAGTTAACAATACCGTTTGCTTTGTTTTTGGTTAATGATTAAAGAATGTACGATTGGATTTTATCAATCTCGTACCTTGCACCTATTACACTGCACTATCAACAGCATCACCTGCTTTTTATAAAACACCTCAAGATTAGCTGCTTACATATACCAGTAAAACAATCAATCAATAATGAATTAATAATTTAAAATATTATCGAGATTTGTTAATTTAGGACTTTTGGACACTATGCCATGTCTATCAATCAGATAGTTCGGGTTTTAGGATGTTTGATGGTTGCATATCTGTCAACACAAACAACAGGTAAGTTGGATTATTGTAAATTTAAAAGATTCAAATAATTAATTTACATTTTTGTGAATTAAACTACATAATGTATGAGTCTTAGATAGCATTCGCAAATTTAATATCCGGCTGACGGATTAACCACTAGCTTCATGGCCAAAATCATTTGAACATGGTTAGTACGTGCTACTTTTCATATTCATATTTAAATGAATTTGCCCTACAATAGCAGTTAATCCGTCAGCCGGCGGTTGAATTTGCAAATGTTAGCTAATTTGTCGTGTTTGGCATTATTATTGATTTATTTGTTTTTAAACTGTGGCCAAATGCCAATTTTTTAGTGTGGCGATGCATATACCAGATTATTGTAAACAATTGCAATAAGTACAATTTGGATAAGCAAATACAAATGCGATGTAGTTATAAGAGGTTTATAAGATCTTTTTTATTTTTAATAGTGACGAAAAGTTATGAAACTTCGCCTTAAATACTGAAAACACCCTTTTAGGAACCATTTTAATTTTCACCCAGAGTAAGTGTTTAATACAAAATTCTGATGAATATTTTTTCAATGCTGTGATAACATTTATTCATTTTGTCATTTTGCTTATGGTACATGTACTTAGAATGTTTATATTATATCAAATCATTTATTAGGCGGAGAGTACAGTTTGCAAAAATTATCATTCGCATTCTCCTTTTTTGAGATCGGTCTCTTCCGATACCTAAACACTTTCCCTTTGGACTATAGCTTCAACCGTTCTCGACAACAATGAAGTCGCTACCTGAAGTAAGATATTTCGAAGGAGGGGTTTCTTTGAATGATTTATTATTCTCAGACCCGCAGCCTGAGAATTGTACCAAGGGAGGGGATGGAATAGAATCGTGAAAAACTGCAGGACTTGAACTTTTGGCCAGGGAAATACACCAAAGCCCTCGAAACCCCTACCCCCTTGCCACGGGCCAGTTTCTAGTGATTCATTTACTTTTGCGTTGTTACGAGGATATGGACAGAGAGGAACCATAGGCTACCATCTATTTTTTGTTCCTGAACACCACGTATTCGGCTAAAATGTCTTAATGGTTCTGTAACTATGGGCAGCGTGTTTTTCGGTACACTTAAATTCCTTGTTCATAGCGTGAGCCATTCTCGATAAGAAATAAGAAATTGTTAATTTTGAATGATGTTTATGGTGCACCTCTAGCCAAGGTTATCAAATATTGCTGTCTTATCGGGGCAACAATTAAGTTGGACAATTGATTTGGTGAGCTTATATTGCATTGAAGAAAGGGTCTTTCAGATGTCTTGCCAAGAATAAGAACACCACATCTATGCAGCAAAGTGGTTTATCCCATGGTTGCAAGGATATAGATCAAATGTTAAGTAAAGATGTATATGATATGTGGATCAATATATCATATTTTAGTAAAACATTCTCTAATTCACATCGAATATCACTTTTAAACTATCGAATATCACTTCTTAAAAAGTGAAGCCGCCAGCCAGTTTTCATTGAAAAAGGTAAAAACACCAAAATCACACCCCCCCCCTCTATTTTACTTTGACTATTTTTGACCTCATTTGACCTACTTTTTATAAATTAATAAACCTCCTTCGAGAGTTTTGAATGACCAAGCCATAATATGGTATCTTAGTTTGTACTGTACCTCTTCAACTTTGGAAACGCCAGGGATCATGATCACCCTTGGCCGTTAGTGTTATGAAAAATACATTGCCCGCATGAGGGTTTAAAAGTTTATCTTATCTGATGGATTCTTGGGTAAAACATAAAAATATATTAAACTTTTTCCAAAACACCTCGTTTTGACATCAGTAACAACCGCATAACACTTCACCGGGACTAATGACGCCATCTATAATTGTGTACCCTCTTCAATAAGTTTCATTTTGCTCCTTCAAAAGATAGATTCACTTACACTCATTGAAACGAGTCTTCGATCTAGACGCAAACAGAAATTGTCTCTATCGGTTTAATCACCTTTACACAAGTCAAATACATTTTTGTAATCAACCTGTAATTAAAAACATATGAGATACAATTATTTTATGAATGGCTTTTCCCATTTTACGGTATGACCATATTCTTGTGAACCAATTGTACTCTCGTTCTTTCACATTTTGACATACTGCTAAGATATTTATTCAAAATACCTAATAGATCTGCCGAGTGTAATGATTGAATTTTTTTCTGATTATACTCCGATACTGTTTTGTCATTTCTCAAAGTGACGTCAAGTTCAATTAATTATATTTATCGGATAACACAACTGATCGTGAAAACTGCACTCAACATACACTATTGCAATCTGAAATAACTGTTCCCACATTATCTACAGACTTAAGATCTCTGTAGAATTGCTTGATGACATGTGAGGTTAAGATAAAGCTAACCTTGTTGAGTTTTATGAGAACTATGAGAATATTATAAACGATTTGATTCACTGTTGAATAATTGCCCCCCCCTTCCTAATCTTTGTAATAATTTATATTCGCTATCGAATAATTGCATGAGAGCTCTCATCGGTTAAGTGAGATGTAAAAGTTCCAATGGTCTTGCAGTTATCTTTCAAATATAAGGTTGGACAACCTATTGTCTATTTTTATATCAGGTGGGTCTATTTTGTAAGTTCATTATCTATTTTATGTGTCCCATCGTTTTTCAAGTTCAATGTCAAAATAAGGTGCGTCAAAGATCGTTATTTTTGATTGGTTGATTAAAATGAATTAATACTGCGAATAGACTAGATGCGAGTAATAATTTAATTTGCGTAATTGTGATTATACAAAAATTGATCAATTTAAACTAATTAATATCTACGAGAATTTTCTACTATATTTTCCGTGTTATCTGACCCGAATTAGCCAACTGGTGGTGAAAATGAACTACCTTTTGGCATCTGGGTTATTAACGAGTAGTCTCTTGTTTGTTATACAGGATGGGCTAAAAACGCCACTTTATTTCTTTTCAAGACACTATAACTTTTTTTATTTTCCAACCTATATACCCCAGTTTTGCAGTTACATAGTGCCAGTTTTTTTTTAGTAATAATATAATGTAAGAAGTACTTCAACTTGGATTATATTTGATCTAAAAGAGGAGCTCAATTGGGCCACCGTCTTTGATGATAGCTTTTAGTCTTAGTTGCCTTGCTGATATAGCACTAGTATCAGTGAAATGTTGGCTAAGTTTCTTTCAACATGTCTTAATTGCCAGCTTTAGTTGGGCAATTTTCTAGATTGGGTGCCCTCATACCATCTCCTGGAGACCTTCCAATACCCAATACTCACTGGGGTTTGCAGCAGGATTATTTGCTTGGTGACAGTATCAGTTCAGGAACATTTTGCAAATTATGTTTATTTCTCATGGCACACCACATGTTTAAGTGAGACGCTGGTGACATATTTTATTCAAGTAAAAGTGTACAGTTCATAATCCATGGCTAGATAGCATCGTCTAGTTTCATTTGGTATGCAAACTATGATTTTGTTCATAAATTAAAAAAGTTATAGCATTTTGAAAAAGTGGCGTTTTTTGGCCCACCCTAATACCCCTTCTTATTCCATAGGGTATCGACCATGTATCATTCTTGTAACTAATGGAAAAAAATCATTGTTAGTACTATATTTTACTTTTTTTTTATTAAACCATAGAATAATATTTCCAAACTATTTACTGGAACACCAGTATTGTCAGATACACCGTTGTCACAAATGGCGGCCACGGGTTCGTATTTGATTTGATTTTTCATTAACTGTAGCGCAAATTGAGATTTCATATAATACACCATCACAGGAGCTTGATATGCACTGCACAGAACAAGCGATGATAAAGTCCCATGAATATGAGAACCAAGTGATTAAAGAGTTGAACCAACAACTAAGTCCGCTATTTGTGACAACGGTATCTGACTTTACCGGGTATTCCGGTGTGAAGGAAATTGAATTGGGTCTATTTTCAAAGAAGCATTGTGACTTTGTCAAATGATCAGCATAAGGTTTGTGCTGCCCATGTCATGAGTTGTTTCATTGAGTAGAATGCGTATTCAGTGATTTGTTTTATAATAGCAATACAGTTATCTCCAGAATCGTAACTAGAGTTGTGTAAAATGTAAGTAACTAAATACACATTTTGTCATTTTTTGTGACAGTATAAGTCACTGTGACATCGATATACTGAATACACTGTATGTATGTTTTAATCCATTGCAGGAGCATCTACATTACAATACGGCGTTAGAGACAATAGACTATCTGACTATTTCCCAAGCTATTGTGAGAGTACTGGTCAATGTGACATCGATATACTGAATACACTGTATGTATGTTTTAATCCATTGCAGGAGCATCTACATTACAATACGCCGTTAGAGACAAGAAACTCTCTGACTATTTCCCAAGCTATTGTGACAGTACTGGTCAATGTGACATCGATATACTGAATACACTGTATGTATGTTTTAATCCATTGCAGGAGCATCTACATTACAATACGGCGTTAGAGACAAGAAACTCTCTGACTATTTCCCAAGCTATTGTGACAGTACTGGTCAATGTGACATCGATATACTGAATACACTGTATGTATGTCTTAATCTATTGCAGGAGCATCTACATTACAATACGGCGTCAGAGACAGGAGACTCTCTGACTATTTTCCAAGCTATTGTGACAGTACTGGTCACTGTGACATCGACCCATATACTGAATACACTGTATGTATGTTTTAATCCATTGCAGGAGCATCTACATTACAATACGGCGTTAGAGACAAGAAACTCTCTGACTATTTCCCAAGCTATTGTGACAAAACTGGTCAATGTGATATCGATATACTGAATACACTGTATGTATGTCTTAATCTATTGCAGGAGCATCTACATTACAATACGGCGTCAGAGACAGGAGACTCTCTGACTATTTTCCAAGCTATTGTGACAGTACTGGTCACTGTGACATCGACCCATATACTGAATACACTGTATGTATGTCTTAATCTATTGCAGGAGCATCTACATTACAATACGGCGTCAGAGACAAGAGACTCTCTGACTATTTCCCAAACTATTGTGACAGTACTGGTCACTGTGACATCGACCCATATACTGAATACACTGTATGTATGTCTTAATCTATTGCAGGAGCATCTACATTACAATACGGCGTCAGAGACAAGAGACTCTCTGACTATTGCCCTAGCTATTGCGACAATACGGGCAACTTCGTTGAGGAGGTTACCTGCATTTCTCCCCCGTACTGTTGCGTTCAACGATCCGCTGGCGGGTTCGAAGGACTTAAATGCTGCGAAAATAGAATTGACCGAATAGACTCTTCTTACAGGGATGGCCATAATTGCAAGGAGAATGGAAGGAACAAAATAAAACTGAGTCGCAAGAGAAGAGGTGGGTTATAAATAAATTAAATTAATGATGATTCACCGTTACCAGTTAAATAATCATCATAGCTTCTCTAATTGATCAACTGTTCATTATTAAAATTTTGATGCGTATTTATCTAGACATCGATATACACTACACTATATAACTGTAAAATGGGTATATAGGTTGGAAAATAAAAAGGATATAGTGTCTTGAAAAAGTGGCGCTTTTTTGGCCCACTCTGTGCATGTGCTGCATAAAAACTATTATATCCAAACTACAAATTAAAGTTCAACTTTCAACTGAAAATCTAAAATACGATTAACTCGATCGCTTCAGAAACCAAGCCTGTTGGTGAAGTGTGTCCAGCATTCTGTGTTGATGGGTCATGGCATGAGGCAGTGTACTGCATGAAGGGTTACTGCTGCGAGGAGACGACTTCCCCAGGACGATTCTCCCTCATATGCTGTTCAAATAGTAACAGTAGTGTCGTTAACAAATACAAACAGGGCCACAACTGTAGGAGTGCAGATATCTTAAACGGCTAGTAAGTACTTTAGCCTTCGTTTATTTTTCCTAGTAATTTTGTATCCATGTCCACTAGGGTCTCAACGTAAATGAGTCTGTGCAATAATATAGCCCGCCTTTCGGTAGCAGATTTTCAAAGGGGTTTTCTACATTTAAACCCATTTCTCATTAGGTTTTCTACATTAAACCCCATTTCTCAAAAGGTTTTCTACATTTAAACTCATTTCTCAAAAGGTTTTCTACATTTAAACCCATTTCTCAAAAGGTTTTCTACATTTAAACACATTTCTCGAACAATTTCTCCATCATCGTTTGCTTTGTTAGTTTCATTTGTGCGTTGGATAATTGCTTGGATGCGACCTTGTGACGGTTGCATTTTTCAAATGCTTCGTTTCTATGTTAATACATACAAACTTTTTATGCATATGTTCTCCACTCTTCTACTCTCTGCTATTACATACAGGGTGTCCAATAAATAAGGTGAAAGATATTGTAACTTTCTTAATATTGTACCATAATCTGTATTTAATAAAAGTGTTTAAAGAGAGAATCAGATATAGCGAGCAGGCTAAACAAAAAGTTGTTTCAATTTTAGAATATATTTGGCTCATGTCATTCCTTGTCATGTCTATTTTCTAAAAATCACAAAAGTGCATACTTTATTCATGGAAAACTAAAGATTTTTACAATAATGTATTATTTTTCTATAAGAATGGTTACCATTCTTATTATTTGGGAGAATTTAAACATTTTTCACCCATTTTTGCACTTTGAATCATTAAATACGTCACCAGTTTATAACATATTGTGAATCTTTTGGGAGATATTGTAAGGAATAGATCGGTAGGTCACTTATACATGTTGCTTGTAATTTTGTCAACCCCTATAGATCGGATTCTCCCTTTAATGTTGCAGTTGGAGCAGTATACTTTACTCTGGGATTGTACTTGGTGGCTTCACTTTGCTACTCTCACTATGCATCTACTGTTACCAGTGCTGCAAAGACGGATTCAAGCTCAAGAGACACAATCGGCCAAGACCCTCACGGCCTCCGAACAATAATTGTAAGTTCTATAATAGAGTTTATGCCTATGAAGGAAGAAGGATGTCAGTCTAAGTCATATCGATATATTAATTTGTGGTATAACATACTAGTTTTTTTTGACAATAATAGTGAACGAAAACATTGGTTTGGCAGTATGACTGAAAGAATATACGTGTTTAACATTAATTATGGCTGAAAGAAAACACTTGTTAAACAGAATGACTGAATACAGTGCGGGTCATAGTATTGCGCTATACCACAGTGTATTTCATTCCATTGCATTGCTTTGTATTGCATCGTATTTTATTGTGCTCTATAATATGGTATTGTATTGTATATCACATTTTATTATCACAGTATATCAAGTAGAACAATGCGGAAAGATTTTCCTCTTCATGTTTATGATGTTACTAGTGACTGTCGTAAATTGCAAGTTTGTAAGCATAAGAAACATGGTGTATAAATTGAATATTTCATGTAACGCCATATTGGAAACTTTACATCCTTCTATGACCGTACACTGAGAGTATGATAAATATTCATTTTTATTTTTTTCATCAACAGCAACGAACGGTGGAACCGTCGGCAGCATATCCAGTTCTGTTCCAGAGAGAGACTCGCCAGACCCACCATCTCCGCCCAGTTACGACAACATCAATATGACTCCGCCTGGACCATATTCATCCGAGCCAATTATGCCCCCGCCTTACAGCACAGAGAAACCACCTCCTTACGTACCATAGTCTCGAATCTCAGTAATTGATTCAAATCAGAAATAATCACCATTGCCATCTATAGTTGAACATGTTGCTCATGCGATATGATTGATTATTAAAAAGGAACACTTTTTACGTACTGTATCGTTCATGGTTTTATCTCATGAACAACATTAGTACAGTTCATTGACTCTTTGATTAATAATTTGAACTGCTGGAATATGGTCAGTGCAGATAAAAGGATGTACTCATTGTGAATTCATGAAAATAAATTATTGTTCTCATAATATTTTTGATATAAAAAAGTAACAATAAATTATCTGATTTTGACAGACTGAACGAAATGATTTATTTATCTTTACATAAAGTTACTTAAATCCAAATAGTGCTATTTGTAATGTTAACTCTTTGTAAAGTCAAAATGCATCAATGGTGTAGGCCGAGCATTGGTTGCCTTCCAAGCAGTGGGTCCGGGCTCGATTCCTCGCTGATGCAGCATTTTACCAGAATGTGTTAGCATAATGTCATTTGAGGCCACGAAATAACGTGATCAAGTGTATGTTTTTTATATTATAAGATGACAAATACAAAAGTCTGCTTCATAATCACCCATTAAAGAATGCAGGGGATCAATGAACGAAATGATTTTTTTGCACACCTTTTGAGAGTTTGATCAAGTTGGAGAAAGGTTGATTAAAATTATGTAAAATAACTCATTTTTTAAAAGTGTGATATCACGAAATTTATTTGATCTAAAGTTGATCACTTGTCAAAGCATTGCTCTTACAGTTTGATTTAGCATGGAGCCATCTATTAGCAGTATACAACTACATTAATACAGTCAAAAACTGTCAATTGGTTATAGCCATCTGATAGAACACGTGAAATATTATTTACTGAGCTGAAATATCAACTCCCCAGGTAATATGATGAACAATTACATACAAGGTTTTTAACTAATCTACATTTATAAGTAACGTGATTTATATTCAGAATGAGACTTTGGCCTTAATACCGTTACCGTTACATTGAAGGAAATGTCGCAAAATGTTTTCATAAATAAAACTGTGGATGATTGGCTCCTAGAGTGCAACATCGATATTTTCCCCCATATATGTACATGTCGTGATGACAAAATTCGAATTGAAACAGCCGCCTTATTGTTCACTTCATCATTTGGATCGTGAATTTTGGTCTTTTGGACTATTTATTTTGAATTTTTAAACAACAAAATTTTGACGTTTTCGATTCATTGTTGGAAAATATCGAGTTTGGATCCTTGGAGCCAATTCTTCTTGAATAAAACTTAATAGTTCTCACTCGGTGCTATATTCCTTTTTGAGGTTTATGCCTCTATTTGTCTATCTGAAATGCTGCATTGTCAAACGAAACAGTTTTCCGATTTGCCTGGGGTTTGTTATGATTATGTGATCCCGCAATAGGTTGTGAAAATGACGATGGACGATTGTCATTGTCTTTAAGATTATGAACAGCTCGGTGCTATATTCCCTTTTGAGGTTTATGCCTCTATTTGTCTATTTGAAATGCTGCATTGTCAAACGAAACAGTTTTCCGATTTGACTGGGGTTTGTTTTGATTATGTGATCCCGCAATAGGTTGTGACAAGGACGATGGACTGGCATTGTCTTTAAGATTATGAACAGCTGTTGTTTTTGCTTGGTTTACCCTGTTGGTGACATTTGTCACTGTGGACGAGTCATCTGGTAATTTAGTTAGATCACCGTTAGACTGTTGTTCAGCATTTGAACCTGATGTAGCTTCCAACGCACTTTCATTTGTAATTCCTCTTGTAGCAACATTTTCTATTTCACTCGGTATGGCAGGAAGTGGGATTGCGCATGCGTTATCATATGTCGTTTGTCTTCTGCTATTTGCAGCATTGTATGAAAGTGTAGTTGTTGTAGGAACACACATAGGCGTTTCTGACTCAGCAGTGACACACCCGGTTGCGTGTGTAGTTGTCTGATTCTTATTAGCAGATGTATTAACGACACTACTATTCGATGTAGTATCAACTGCAACAACCAACCCACTTACTGCAGCGTTATGGGATACACGAACCGTAGTTGCAGCAGAGTTAGGTGTTATTTGACTGGTTTGTGATTGTTCTGTAAATGGAGGGGGGTCTCCCGCTATCTCATGGTACGCCGGGGGTTGATAGATTGGATAGTTAAACTCTGGAACAGGTCCGGCCGAAAGAATAATTTCTTCGTGTTCTATAAAAAACACAAGCATGTCCAATCAGTTTATTTAAAACAGTTTAATGTAATTCTCAATTTATTATTTTAAATATATCAAAAATGTTCCCTAAAACGAACAAAATAAAAGGAACTATAATGACAGTACCATTCTTTGAACGCAGTATTCCAAGGGGTACGCAGACTGGGGTACGACCAAAAAATGATCCCAATTATTTTTTTAATTCGTAGGCATCCTGAATAATGACCCATTCCAAAGGTAGACTTAACTACCCATAATAACCCATATGCATACCTGTTATTCCTCCATTGGCACGAATAGTCGCTTGTGAATTGTTGTTTGTGTCTTGTCTTGTACGGCTTGCCATTGTTCTTGATCTAGTGGCTGTAAACTGCGCTTTGGAACAACCAAAGAAACAACACATACCACATGTTAGGAGAATTATAATTGCCGTGAAAACACCAAGGACGATCCTCCATCTGTAATACATATATAGAGGAAAGACTTATTCTCAGTTTATTCAGTCTTTTATTGTTGCTGGAGAAATAAAACACGAAGTGACCAAACGATCAGACTAATTAATGATGACGATAAGGGTTTTATTCACGTAAAGGCATGCGTTGTGAATTGTTTAACACGTTTTTATCAAATATAGGTCTTTAATTTCTTACTAAAATTAAAAAATGACTTTTAAATACTATGATGCGGTGAAATGCAAACACTAAAGATTCTACTATCAACATGTAATTACTGATCAATCTAACTTCAAGGGCCGTAGATATATGATGTAAATGTTTAACGTGGTATCAGCCAGCGCATCACTTCTAAACGTTTCTAACTTTTATATAGGGTTTTAATGAATCATGTTTTGCTGTATGTTATTTTTATTTCTTTAAAAAAATATATGAAAAACAAACTTCAAAATGCAAAATACTTTTTATGGCAGCTTGGACAGTTCCCTCTCATGTCAAACCAGTGGTTTCTTATTCTTAAATAATGAGTGTTCTGGGAAAGTATACTCGTCAGCACCAGCAGGGAAATAAAAAGGCACTCGACATGAGTACACTCGCCAAGAGACTGATAAGCACGCGTTAGAATTTTACCATGTTTTCCCATGTGAATCATAACATTGGCTTTCAACTATGAGAATCATAGCGTGGTTTTACATATGAGAATCATACAGCATATTATGTGGTTTTACCTATGAGAATCATACAGCATATTATATGGTTTTACCTATGAGAATCATCCAACATATTATATGGCTTTACCTATGAGACATGTTTCTTACGCAGTGGTAGCGCTCGGGATAGAGGCCGGCAATACTTGAGTCGGGGTCATTGCAGCAGAATCTAAAAAGAAAGAACACGGTAAGGAAAAGATGGATGAAAACAGGATATAGCTTAATAAAATATGGCATGATCTGCTGAAAATTTAAAATTTTGACATTTTGTAATAGTAGATTCATTTAGCAATGTCATCAAAGTTAGTCAATTTTATTTTTAATTCAAGTTTTTTTTTTACATAATTGGAATGTAGCCTGTGGTATAGTAACCTTATGACAAATGATGCTGTGTAAATGCAACTTCAGTTTTATAATTCCGGTAAGGTTATTTTTGATCTTGAATATTGGGCAAAATATAGTCGACCTCCTAATGCTTAGGAGCGACTGATGATGAAAATGATAGGCATAAGATACGACGTACCAGATTATAGTTAAATTGACATAACATACGACGTACATGATGCAGTTGAATTGACATAAAATACGACGTAAATGATGCAGTTGATTCGACATGAAATACGACGTACCTGATGAAGTTGCATTGACATGAATACGAACTACGTGGTGTAGTTGATTTGACATGAAATACGGCGTACCTGATGCAGTTGAATTGACATAAAATATGACGTACTTAATGCAGTTGCATTGACATGAAATACTGCTTAACCGATGCAGTTGAATTGACATGAAATATGACGTAGCTGATGCAGTTGTATTGACATGAAATATGACGTACCTGATGCAGTTGTATTGACATAAAATATGACGTACCTGATGCAGTTGCATTGACATGAAATACGGCTTAACTGATGCAGTTGAATTGACATGAAATATGATCGGGGACGTACCTGATGCAGTTGGATTGACATGAAATACAACGTACCTGAAGCTCTGGGTTCCACAACAGTAGAGTGTAGTGTTTGTTCCGTGGCGTTGAACTGTTTCTTTGAGTGCAACTGTTCCTTTTTGTGCCACTGGTGGTTTAATGAACATACCACATACAAACCCTGGATGCCATGCCCCACGTCGATCACAGTAACTGGTACAATACTCAAGGCCGTGTACCAACCCTAAATGAAAAACCAATATGTTGGAATTGCAGTGTACTAACGTCAACGCGTATCACAACTTCAAAAAATAAACTGTTGTTTTAAGTAACGTCACAAACCAAATTAGAACATCTTCCTCAAGAGTCATCACAGGATACAAAACAATTGTAGATGAGTAGAAACCGAGATATATATATCAGATAGCGGTTTATGCAAAGGCTCCGTAACATAACATTGACATGGTATACTGCCTCGAGATCATATCTAGTCAGAATACCGTATTAGTGTATAATACTAAGCTTGTATTCGCAAATGCAACTTGCGTCTGACGACTACCGGATTGACCTGCTATGTTATGGGCAACTCGTTTAAATATGAATAGTGCCTGCCACTGCTCCATTCATATTTAAATGAGTTGGTCATAAAAGAGTAGGTTAATCCGGTAGCTGACAGGCGTTAGTTGCATTAGCGATTACAAGCTTAGACTCATTTTTGGTATAGCTGTGGTTGAAACTATATAGGTTCAGATATCGAAGAATTTTATGAAAATATTGATGTAATTAATATATTTAATACAACAAAGTAGTACAGTACTTACCAATACAACAAATCAGCAACACACAACCACGATATATTACACAACTTGACATAGCTATCATATTATACACAACGCATATTGTGGCAAAACTAAAATTCCAAATATTAGAACTTCAACGCGTTGCTCCAAGTCTGTAACTACCAATCTATACGTCAATATGTGCATATAAAGTAGAATATTATTCTAACCCAATTTGGTTTAAGTCCACATTTTGCTCTCATTACTACACTTGAACTGAGTTTTAATACTATAAGGGTATTATATGGGATATTATTTTAGACATTATCAGTACTGAAAATGAGTATAAATGATCGGACGCTAAGTGTCTACTTACAGAGGGCAATTAAAAAGTAGTCAGCGTTACTGATGCCCACTGGTGAATATCACAATGTTACGTAGCAAATAAGGAATGTTTTTGTGTAATTGTAAACGGACAAATGATAGCTGGCAAATTGTCACAACAATTATACAAATGTATATTTTATTCTATTATTCTACATAATAACAACTCGAACCTCTTGAACACCTCAAAATTTACAATATCCTTTCATGTCTACAAAAAATACTTTGATATAAGAAAACTGAAAATTATCATTAGGATATTTAACTTCAGCATTCTTGGAACATATGATCCACAGATTTAGTATTTCCGAGACCTAGAATTAGTAGTCCGAAGCGTACTTGTATACCTTAAAGCCCCCGATAAATCGGGCTACGTATACCACCGTGTTTACATTAGGGGATTAGAAGAGTTTATTTTTTACTTAGGTATGCAAGCAATATCAATATTAGGCCTTCATACATGTACTCGTGTGTACAATTAGCATGCACTTCAATATTATATAAGCCAGGCTATTCAAGTACAACATAATGTACACTATTTATGTGTGTACTACATGAGAATACAATTCCCTGGGAAACAAAACAAAAATACTTTTTATATGTTCAAAATGAGCCATTTGATTGATGCATACACTTGATACCTCCATATATAAAAGTATATCTAATAGTTATTTTCAATTCCAATGTTGAAACTTGCCTGGTTACGATTATACGGGAAATCAACACGGGACCATAGTTGTACACCTTCCTGGCTTACCTCTGAAGCCTGTACCCTGTAATCTCTTTATATAGGTTAGCGAGAGCGCTGCGCCTGCGCAGTTTTAAATTTTGGCGCACACTTTAATTGGTTTTTCAGAAATGGAAATCCGACTGGAAAACACGTCCGTAGTCATTTTTCATTGACATTTATAGCTGGGAAAATACATACAAATTGGACAAACAAATGGACCACTTTTATCCAACTTTTATGTGGTCGTTTTTCGGCGTTCGGCAGTCGGCGTTCTGAGTTCGGCGTCTGTAACAAATGGCAGGTGGTGACATTTTGCATGTTAATGTTTGTTTATAACTATAATTAATGTAAACACATTAGCAAAATAAATAAACATACTTAAATGTAATACTATTACATTAGCATGAATAATTAATGACAGGTGTTTCTTAATTTACACCGGAGATTATATAATATTATATTTCATTTATGTATTATATATATATTATATAATTATATATGTATATTGCTTTTTAAGCAATTAACACTTTTTGAGCATTGATGGTCCATAAATGACTAGTTTTGAGTGAAACGGAACTGATCTTGTAGGTATCTTTGCTTTGGAGGTTAAATTGGTAAAAATGATATTCGAGGCGACCTTTTTTAATATACTTTAATTCTACAAATCGAATATTTGTCTGAAAATGAGTGAAGAAATTCATCTCAGATTTGTTTTGGGGATACTATGTACATTATATATGTGTTTCTTCCAATATAACGTACATTACCATAACAGGTGTGTTATCGACTTGTAAAACATACTACACATGTAGTATACTATCACCACAGTGTAAAATATGATTCTTTATTTTTTAATCAACTCACAACTCTAGTTCCGATTAACATCAGCTGTGTACTGAACGAAAATCAATTATCAATTAAAATGAACCCCGTTATATCAGATAGAACTATGAATTGTTGCCATGTGTTAATATTTATTGCTATATAATGTCAACTCAATAGCCTTTGGCATAAAAGTAATATCCTGGTTCGCTCACTGCCAAAATAAAGCGTGCTGTCCAAATAATGGTCACTTAAATACCGGGCCAAAATATAACTGACAAGACAATAGTGAAAGAGGAAGGAAGCGACGAACATGATGATGTTCCACTAGTCTAGAACGCCGTGGGCGACAATACCGGTGTAGTACAAGTAAAGGAAATAACATAACTTCCATTTCCTGAAAACCAATTTACATCGTTGAATAATAGGAACCATACTTCCTTAAAAAGGATGCTGTAGTAGCTGGATATATTCAGCTAAACGGTGACAGTTTAACATGACGTACCGTACGTTTGGTGATGGACATCGACTTATCATTTGAACGTCTGAACGTAATTTTAAATGTCATTGATGATTGACAATCAAGGAGTGTCAACGTGGTTTTAACAACAAAGACCTGGGATGTAAAGATTACAACATGTAGTCTACATAAAGCATAGACCTCTATGACACGGTCACTACGTCATTGGAATTACTTAGAGCTACCAATAGTGAAAAATAATGTCATTTTAATTAATTGACAAACATAAAGTTTAGATCCTAGGTTGCTCGTTGAAGTTAACGAGGTACTAAAAACGTGAACATCGTACAACAAAAACATTCCCGCACTAGACTTCAGACATTTATGTTCAATGTTTAAAGCCCATGGGCTAACAAACCACGTGATTCGAAAGTCCATAGACTCTATAAGGTGTGAATTTTAAAGTCGTAAAATGTTTTAAAAATAAAAGGGAGCTAAGAATCCAACAACTTGCCCATCTGGACATTATATTGATACAATAGCACTCGGTGTTCCATGTATCGAATATTCAAAACGTAAAAAAATTCAGTATACCTACAAGAGAGTTTTCGCAATAATGAAGAAACTAAGCAACACATCAGATGAACAACGAATTGAGATAAATCGAAGCATATACAAACAAGACATATTCAATGAGACTTTCAAGACAGACACGAATAAGGAAAAATCAAGTTGCATACAATCAATGTGCTCAAAGGTCGACTGCTCTTCTACAAAATGGAAGGAACACTTGGCGACGTTATTCCCATTTGCGCATACAATTAAACATTACGAATGGCGGCGGCAGCTTTTGGGTGACGTAGTTGCAGGGCTTAGCGTAGGGGTACTCCATGTACCACAGGGAATGGGATTCGGCCTTCTTGCGGGTCTTTCACCAGTCTACGGACTATACTCTTCATTCTTTCCAGTCCTGGCATATTTCTTCTTTACATCATCGCGTCACGCATCATTTGGTACAATGGCACTTACGGCGTTGATGGTGGGTGTCGTGGTGAACCGCCACATGGGGCCTTCTCCGATGGAAGCTCCCCTTGATGATGTAACAGGCGAAGTGGGAACAACAATGGATCCATATCTACAACATGAAATGATGGGGGGCAGGATTATGATGGCTACATCTCTAACGTTACTAGCTGGACTGATCCAAATAGTGATGAGCCTATTGAGACTAGGCTTCCTGACTGTGTATATGTCCCAGCCCTTTATGAGTGGATTCATGACAGGCGCCGCTGTACACATTATCACGAGCCAAATGAAGTTCCTCACAGGGATGTCTGAATCAGTGAAAACTAAAAATGGATATTTCAAAATATTCAAAACGTATCAAGATATCGCAGCGAGACCAGAGCTTATCAACTATGCTGATGTTATTGTGTCTGCAGTTGCCATTGTAACACTTGTTATCCTCAGGACTGTGGCTGTGAAATGTCAGAAGAGGTTCAATATACCTCTTCCCTGCGAGTTGTTGATCATTATATTCGCAACAATGGGATCCTACTTTGTTGGATTATCAACGAGATTCCACACAAGAACGGTGGGCATGTTACCCATCGGTTTACCCATGCCAGTTGTGCCGGATTTCAACCATGTACAGAGTTACTTCACTGACGCTATCATTATAGCGATTGTCGGTTTCGTGGTGTCCATCTCTATGACAAAGATCATCAGTGAAAAGTACAACTACGAAGTTAATTCAAACCAAGAACTTTTTGCGTATGGATTTGCAAATACGATAGGCTCGTTTTTCCATTGTTTTGCAGGAGCCGTAGCTCCTCCTAGAACGCTCATCAGAGACGCATGCGGAGGCAAAACGCAGCTCAGTAGCCTGGTGTCCTGTATGGTTGTTCTCGTTGTTATATTAGGCATCGGACCATTGTTCAAAGATCTTCCGAACAGTGCCTTAAGCTCCATCATCGTCGTCGCCGTATCTCCTCTCCTCATGAAGTGCAAAGATCTGTTGAAATATTGGAAGATCAACCGCTTTGATGCTAGCACATGGCTCATTACGTCACTCTCGATTGTAATACTTGACATCGATGTCGGATTGATTATCGGGATAGGATACAGTTTACTATCGGTCATAATTCGTACTCAGCTCGCTAGTTCTTACACTGTAACCAACATAGAGAAAACGGAGCTGTATGTCAAAAATCCTAGGATGGACGACGCTATTAAGATATTCAAGTACGACGGTCCAGTGTACTATGGCAATGCTGAAATGTTCAAAGCCAGGCTTTATTCTAAAACGTATGACCCATCTTCAGAAGCAGACGACCGCATAAATAGCAAACGTGAGCATCTGAAGGAGAATATAACACAGGAGATACCGGTGTCATCTATTAGCAATGGACTTTCGCAGAATATTCACATAACAAACCATGATAAGAACAAAAATGCGACTCATGCAATCACTGACCCGCATAAAGTAGTAATCATTGACTTCAGTTGTGTGTCCTTTATTGATGTTGTGGCCATCAACACTTTAATTGATACACACAAGACATTCAGACTATCGGGCGTCCAAATGTTCATTGCGGGTTGTACTGATAGCGTCTATGATAGCCTAAAGACGATTGAAAATACTGAAAAAGAGAAGCCAGAAAACGATTTGTTGAATAACATATTTGTCACAGTACATGATGCAGTGAAATATGTACACTCAATGAACCAATGGACAGACATAACACCACCGAATCAATCTTACAGTGTAAATCTGACAAATGAAACATCAAAATTATAACATGTAATCTGGTGCTTGATAGATGTTCAAAAAGTTTTGGATGTTCTAAAATTCTTAAGAAATAGCATTGATTGGTTAATTCATATTATGACTACATATGGATGCACGTGCGGCCGTTTGAAGGGTCACGTACGCAATATGCGCACGCGGTACCAACTACAGCCGTCAATTTGAATTTAAGACACACTAGGTGTTGCCAAATACTAAGTTATTGAATGATTTGAAGTGCAATACAGGATATATTCTCCTCGAGAAATTCCGTATTGGAACGAGACGAAGTCGAGTGCCAATACAGAATATTGAGAGCGGAATATATCATGTATTGCACTTCAAATCATTCTATAACGTTTTTATCGTCTGATCTTCTGTATTGCTACTGATTATGTCCCCTCCGTACCAATAGTTTCTGTATTGCGACGGAGATGATCAATGGGGACAATCTCAATATGCAATACTGATTGGTACAGCACAAGAATTGACCAATCAGAAGGCTTCATTTTACAGATCATACGATAGAAAATGTATACATGAGTCTAGTACAAACATTCGTTTGTGTAACCAAATCAAGAGATCTGCATAGTCGTGTATTAAACTCATTTTGTAAAGTACATATCGTAATTCCACCTCGATCAAAAAGCTATTGCCCTATGATAACTTTGTAGAAAAAACACTTTAACTTTAAAATGTTGATGGTATTTGTGAGTCAGCTTCATTCTTTGTTACTGACCACAAAGCGTATATGAACAGCTGACATGGTATTGTAATTTGTTCAATGTTTTATATTATTGTCCATTGTACGATTGGTATGAGGCGCACTGATGCACTTTAAATTGAAACATGCTTTATGTTAACTTAACGTTTTTAATAATAAAATGTACAAAATATTATTGGTTCAATAAATATTTTTATATTAGTTATATTTCATTGTGCGATTATGTTGTTGACCACTGAAGCTACATTGGATACAGTAAAAATTCAAACATGTTTTAATAACAACTTTTTAATAATATAATGTACAAAATATTATCGGGTTAAATGATTGGCTAATAACATAAACATTTCAATAATTTGAATCAAAGTGCAATTAATATATCTTCAGAACGCTCTTCGCATTATATCTAACGCCTGTGTCAAATAGCTAGAGTCTATTGTTCTCAGGTTCCGAGGTAATTTTATCCTAGCATTCTTTAACAATGGGTTAACCCAACTAATTGTTATAACATGCGTATTCCCATACAAACGATCTGTCTTCCAGAGAAAACTAAGATTTGTGGACATGTTTTGCTATCATGCCATCATACCCCAGTATGTCTTCTGTCAGTCAAAAAAGTTTGAATCAAAACTCCCCAGGAAAATCAAAAGATCTCACCTGTTGAAGACGCCATCTATAGAAAATGTCAAAAAATGTCATTCTGATTTTGACAGATGGAGGCAGGTCAAAAAGGTCAAATCTTTTAAAGAAAATGCACCTTAATCACATTAAATCATGTCTTAGAGTTGGTCCACACATACACTTTTTCATTCATGAACTTACCAAAATCCAACCACTGGTGATGCTTATGTAATTACAATAATTGGACTATATTTTTGCCATCTAATGTGGCTTCTACTAAGCATGGCAAATAATTAAGCCGAAATGGGACAACATGTATCTCATATTCATCTTATATAACAGCGGCGACAGCTCACTCATACCTCCCCGAGAGCTCCTGGGCGTGTTGTTCTGACAGTACCCGGGCCGGATAATACATCTTACTGAATTAATCCTAACCTGACATCTTTGATGGTCTTTGATTTTATAATCAATAAAAAGTGTATATTAATTTGAACAAGTAGCTTTATATAATCAACAAAAACTAAAACTATGCTAAACTAATTACAAAATACAAAAATATTAAGTTAATACAGCATGAAAAATGTATATAATAAAAAACAAAGATTCTTGGCCAATGCCAGTGTGTGAACTTCTAAAATATTTAACTATTTTTCAAATATTCTTTCAAATGTTGCATAAAATTATGTTATATTTCAAGTTGGGAAGAGTTGTTTTAAGGATGAATTGTCATGGGATGGTAAGAACACCCTAGCATCAAAATTTGAAACATAAAGTACTAACAAGTATTGGTCATCTGTCCATAGTACTTCGTTTATGTATTTCTATGAAACCATCTTTGACTTCTCTGAATATTTTGTTTGAGTATTTTCTAAAAGAAAGAAGAGAAACGTAAGACTTTGAAATTAAGAAATATAGACCGAAAAGCAGGGGTTACATCGTCAAATACAACCCGCATGGCTAGACACAAACGTTTTCTGTACCCCGAACGACCGAGGGAGTGAGGGGTTCGAAAGCCTTTGTGCCTAGCCCCAAGGGGTGTATTCGACGATATTACCCCTGCTCTGAGGTCTATATTACGATTCGAACATGAAAACTCACCAAATTGTTTCGAATATTCATCATGGTCCGCCATTACTACGACCCACCGTTATGACGTCACACATTACACGTATTAACTGGGTTATTGATCTGGAATATAACTCAGCTGAAGCATTGACTTACCCCCCTATCACACCAAACTAGTTCTTACCCGTTCTTGCCAGTCCTACGAAAACGTCGTAAAACGGGCTCAATCTGGCTGTGGTCGGGAAATATGTCTGAAATAATTAGCTTCTTCGTTCTTAAACAGTCTTCAATACGTCCATCTCGTTCGCAGTTCGTACAGGTCGCACCACGTTCGGTGTGCAACGTCGTAGAACGCGTCCCTTAGTTTAGAAGGTCAACATGACCTGATTACAGAACGGTATGGTCGCCATCGAATTTTGAATCGATTCAAAATTCTAAAATCACATTTCCGTCTGAAAACGTTCATAAAGTTCGTAAATAGACTTTAGAAAGTTGCAGCTACGTTCATTCCGTTCGCACACAGTTTAAAACCAGTTTTGAAGAACGCAGTGGCAACTTGTTTGGTGTGATAGCTATATTTTTGTTAACTCGTTCATAAGCAGTGTTAAATACGTTCTTAATCAGTTTAAACCCGTTTGCAATTAGTTCTACCTCGTTCTCAACACGTCCTCAGACAGTTTAACTCGTTGTTAAAACGTCCCTAGTAGGATTGAAGTACGATGGTTCCGTTCGTAGTACGTTCAGCTCGTCGTTAGTACGTTGTCACTCCTTCTAATTGTAGAACGTGACGACCACGAGAACATTTTGAGCATTGTCTAAGTTCTAAAGGACCTACCCGTTCGAGTACGTTCGATGAAGTTTGTAAATAGACCCCAAACGGTTCTTAGTAGGTCCAGTCCGTTCGTACACAGTTGAAGCCCGTTTTCGAGAACGTAGTGAGAACTAGTTTGGTGTGATAGTAGGGTTAGTTTACAGTTCATAGAAGGCGTGAATACAGTCATGTTCGAATATCTGTTAATGACTTTTTTAACATGTATGGTAATGACTTCAGTACTAGAATAAATGAAATTAATATCACCTGATGGATTATTATAACTTTTTATGATACAAAATGAGTTATGTATCCTATTAAGTTTTTAACAAATAATTAAACTGACGCGCGCACTGATCAATTTGCAACCAACCGATGTCCTGCTAATGGAAAAGTCTCAAAGAATTTCACCCCATTTAACATTTATATTCAATCATTTTTCTCTTCAAAATGTCTAGTTATATTTGTTATCCGTTTTTATTATATTTTAAACTTTTTCTCTTTGTTGTCATATTTTTTATTAATACACTTAGAGATTGCTTTTCTTGCTGGGTTTCTTTAAGGTTTTTAGTAATTTCCCTAATTTGATGTTTGTGCTTAGATATTTAGCATTACAGGATTATATTCCATTTGAAGTTTGAATAATAATCATGCTTGATAAAACGCATTCTTTATAACAAAAAATGTTATTTTGTGGGAAATTTGTGCAATGAAAAATGGGGTATGGGGACTTTATTAAGACAATTATTGTGACCTAACATCCTTCCATTCTGGCAAATAGAGGGTTTATTGTGCCAGTAATTTCATCCTTATTCTCCATTTATCATATGTCAATCGTGAATATGGGATGGAGGGGGGGGAGCAGGCAATTTCTGCTAGGAAATTCAACAAATCTGGAAGATTTATTTTTTCAAGAAAAAGTTTACTATTGAATAACTAAATGGATAGGCACATGGTATGGTAGAATATGTTAGGTTTTCTGGGATTTTTTCTAAAACGATACGCATCTAAGGTATGAGATCTATTAAAAAAGGCGCAAGGCCATCAACAGGCACAAATCAACATTTTTGCTATAAATCAAGCAACAATGGTCTGGACGACCTGTAATAAATACTTGTAAGTGATGTTATCATAACTAAATTAATGTCATTACTGAATTTATAAAATAAGTTTCCATATGTGAAATAAAAAATAATCGAAAATAATGAATTTGGGACGGAGGGTGGGGAGCAATATGTATATAAGACATGATTAGAGATGTTTCGCGACTTTAAGTCCTTTTACTCTAAATGTCCCCATTTTTCAGTCTCCAGGGGTATATCATCCAGTTTCTTACTAAGTTAATGAGTTCATTTTTCAAATACAAGAATTCGTGTGAAGTTGTTTCACTTTATAGAATTATTACTCCCCCCCCTCCGTCCCCTCCCCCCTCCGTCCCATTTTAATTATTTTCGATTATTTTTTATTTTACGTATGGAAACTTATTTTATAAATTCAGCAATGACATTAATTTAGTTATGATAACATCACTTAGAAGTATTTATTACAGGTCGTGTAGTCCATTGTTGCTTGATTTATAGCAAAAACTTTGACTTTTGCACGTTGGTTGCGTTGCGCCTTTTTTAATAGATCTTATATCTTAAAAGAGTATCGGTTGAAAAATAATCCTAGAATACCTAACATATTTTATAAAACCGTGCGCTTATTCAATTTGCAATTCAATCGTAAACTCTGTCTTGAAAAAATAATTTTACCAGATTTGTTGAATTTTCTAGTGGAAATTGCCTGCTCCCCCTCCGTCCCATTTTCACGATCACCGGGTGTGTATGTGGCAAATTTAGATATAATTATATGATAATCATTGCTACATCTAAACAATATCATGTTTGCAACTTAAAATCATGGAAAAGTTTAAAAATACTCCAAAATAGCGAAAAATGGGAAAGGTAAAAAGCATATAAAATCTTGAATCCTCAAAATCCCAGTTATTTTATTGCAGATTATGAAAGCTCTAATGCTCCTCTTTCCAACAGTAATACTCACTGTACATGGGACATCTGGCTTTTCTAACAAATTGGATCCAAAGATACATATGAACTCTTCAACATGTCCCATATACAAGTCAAATGGTTATTAACTGGTTTTGGATTATCTTCTTGGCATATCATAAGCTGGAAATATGTCTTTTTTCACTGATTTTTGTGCATTTTCTAGGTTGTAAAAAGACAACAAACATGGGTTGCTTAGCAACGGTGTCACACACTAACCAATCATCTGTGAGAAAATTGAATGACATATTTTGGCTTCCCAATGGTCATACTTTCATATAAGAATAAAATTTTTGAAATATAAAATTTGACCTGTGCCACCTCCTGCCCCCTTTTAACAAATAGTTCATCTTAATCATTAACGTATTATCCTCGAAATAGTTGGCACGTAGTTAGTGCGTAGATTCAGGTTTCGAAATATGATTTCAAATCAGTTAAAACAATAGGGGGAATAATCCCAGAGTTCAATGATGACCTACGCTTTTAATGTAAATCTGTACGGTATTTAGATGACCCACGTCTCTGATTGGTCAAAATCGACAAATTTTGGTGGTCTCAAAATTTTCGAAATACGCTTCGAATAATATCATATTCATTTCTGGCGCGTTGACCAATATTATAGCTTGTTTTTCACATCAAGATGAAGACATGCGTG